TCCCCTTTTACGTCACGGCCGAAGACGCACAAGTTTGTCCGCAATTTCCCCCTCGGCCAGAAGGACCTCGGCTACGACCAGACGGTGCTCGACTTTCAGACCGACCGCAAGAGCGACGTACCCGTTGATGCCGTCGACTACACACCGCCCGAGTACATCACGAACCTCGTCACCGAAAACGGTCCCAAGCTCCCCGGGTACGTGTTGGAGCAACTGCTCGAGATTTACGGCGCTCTCAACGGTTGATCGGCAAACTGTCGATCAAGAGAAGGGTGCTCGCCCTCTGTCTCTCTGGCGTGGCTCTATGTGAGCACAGCACGACGAGACACGGGAATTCTCAGCTCCTGCAGATCGGCCCCTTCTAGACGCCCGTCGGTCAAGCGGTGCCTGCATGCAGCCCACATCGGAGCAGGGCTGCGACACACGGCTAGCAACGGGATACGATGGCATCGAAAAATAGGCGACAGCAGAGTCAGGTCAGATGACGCAAAACGAAATTCGGGCGTGGGGCCGGCCAAGGGGAGTCCCGGCTTTCCTCTTGGTAACAATTGCAGCAAACCGCAAACGAGACACTAAGCAGCCAGGGGAAAGGGGGGAGGGCGGGCATCGGCGGACTCCCGGTGACGTTTTTCATGATACCCAAGACGTGACGAATTGGGCATGCTGCAGCGCATACCGCCAGGGACACATGCAAGACAGGTTTTGTCTTTGCCGCAGAGCTGTTTTCCAGTATGTAGGGTGGTGTTGAAAGAGAGCAACGACTTATGGAGTGCTGCTGTATGACGTGCTTGCGACTCGTGATGCTTGTGCCGTGGTGAGGGGGTCTCGATTGGCTGACAGGGCTCAGGGGGCATGTCTCTTGGAGACTACGGATGTGTCCCTCCAGTGCATGGGTGCCAGTACGGATATCGACGAGGTGCTTCTCAGCTTTCAATATGGGACGAGATACAGACTTGGCGATGGAGGTCCATCACTATTGCACCGTCAAGATGTAGTTCACTCGGTCCATGATCTTGCCACCTAGGATAAGGGACCTCAGCTAACGGCGAAGGCTACTCATCGAAGATACTGACATGTATGTGGCGGACCAAGGGTTCACGGCACAGATTGTTTCTAGCTAACACACTGAAAGTACCAAACCACACTCGTTTACCTGTGATGGGAAAATTCCGTCTGCCACATTACTCATTTCAATCTGGATGATCTCCCACTCCAGGTACCCTCGTAATCCGTGCCCATTCGTGTACAAAATCATCAAGACGAGGCACCACTCCCTAAGCAGCGTTGCCATTCGTCTGCACATCACGGACAAGGCGAGCGCCAGCCCATGCATAGAGGTAGTTCCTCTGGTACCAGTTTACACTAAAGAGAGTCAGTCCTGTGCCTCGCTTCGCCAGGGACCAACATTTGCAAGAGCCAAACTCACAAGGACGATCGTCCGGCATTTCGAGGGTGTGTCGCCCAAGATCCACCGAGGATGATGTTATGCTTGTCGTCAAAGAAATCGGCTGTGCCACGGTCAGCTCAATGCTCGTTTCATCAACCAAGATGGAGAAACACTCACCTGTGTAGGCAGGGTACAGCTGCATCGGCTCAAACCCTTCGTGCTTCCTCAACGGCGAGCTCGTCCACTCCCACAGGCCGCCGAACTCAGCCTGCCTCCGCAAGGCGCCCCCCACCGGCCGTCACAGGTGTAGGGTGCCAGTGCTGAAAGCCAACATTGGTACCCTCGAGATTGACGAAGAGGTCCGAAGCGACTCTCATCAATAGCAGAGAATTGAGGGCGGATGGGGGCGTTCCCTGGACGCCATTTATTGGAGAGATGCCTGTTTGGGGGAAGTCAGTCAAAGCACTCCCCGAAACATTAGGTGCAGACAACATGGCGTACCCGTTGACGGCGGGAACCGTCTTTCCGAGTTTGTGTTCAGCCTCTCGGCGCTTGAGACGGTTGACGTAGGCGTATATACTCTTAGCTTCTTCATATGTGGGGATCCTGCCTCCCATATAGGCAGCGCACCCGGCAATCTCATCATAAGAAGCGGCGACGGGCCAATCCAGGGCTTGACTTAATGGTACAGGCCCGTAGACAGTGCGGACGGCAATGCCATCCACATATGGAGTCGGCAGTGAAGTTTCACTACCAGAATGGCTGTTGACATGGTCATTTGCGTAGCCGTTTGTGTGACCATTGGCGTAGCCATTCGTGTTGCCGTTCGTGAGGCCGTTACCGTTGGTCGTCGAGCTGGCAGGCTGAGTCGATACCCATGAAGCTGGCAGCTTTTCCATGTGGCACTCATAGAGATACTTGGCATACTGAAACAGGTCAGTTGACAAATCATGAAAGGCCAGAGACAAAACACACCTCTTCATTAGTGATGGCGCGGCTCTTGGCCTCAAAGGAGTGAACATTCACTCGTCTCGACGGTTTCTCGTTGTCCCTGGAATATGTGAGATGCTGTACAAGGATCGAGAATTCATGTTATGCCACACACCATCCAAAATACCCTTTGTTGTCGAGGACTTTCTCATCATCATCCATCCCAATGACAACAGACTGCGCAGGCACACCATGCCACTCGTTCGCCACTCGGGCCTGTCGCGCTTCTTCAGCCATGCCTTTGAAGTTGGGCGTTTCGGTATGAGGAGGCGGCTGAGTCTTGTCGCTCTGGAGCATCATGTAAAGCAATGTTTCCATGTGCATGACCTCGTGCTCGAAGCCTATCCAGATTGCTCGGGCAACATCCCTCGGAATATGCGCCTCTCCATGGGAGTACAGTCCCCGCAACCGGGAGCGGACTCTCTGCTGGTAGTCGACGATTTCCGAAATAGCCGGCCATTCGTCGGGAACTTCGGAATGAGCGTGGCAATGTTCTGGGTTGTCTACGTCGGGATCGATGCCCCTCTCAAAGATGGAGATGTAGTAGGCTGGCTCCGTGGGCTGTTTCTTTGTTGTCTTGTTCAACTGAATGTCCAAGAATGTGGGAATATGGCCGAGGTAGAAGATGCAGGCGTTGCGAAGCTTGATGGGCTTGTCGTGGAGCTCTTCATTCGGAAGCATGCCCCTGGTGACAATGTCCCAGGCACTCCAGAGAGTGCTCCATTGGTCCAGAGTCGGCAGCGGGGTGGCGGCGTATACCGAAGGTGCGAGGCTGAAAGGCATTCTTGGTTTGGAATCCC